ACACTGGTGGTGCTAGACCAGTGAAGCAGAGACCCCGGAAACACCCTGCTTGTAACCAACAAGAGATAAACCGACAGGTGGATGACTTGAAGGGGCGTGGCTTGATAGAGCCATCAGATAGCCCATGGGCGGCTAACGTGGTGTTGGTGAAAAAGAAAGATGGCTCAAAGCGTCTGTGCATCGATTATAGAGGTTTGAATGCAGTAACAATCAAGGACGCGTATCCTGTTCCCAGGATTGATGAGACACTCGACGCGCTAGAGGGCGCTCAGTGGTTCTCAACCCTTGATCTCGCATCCGGGTACTGGCAAGTAGCCCTGGATGAAGATGCTCAGCAGAAGTCAACTTTCGTTATGCGTAACGGGTTGTACCGTTGGAAAGTTATGCCATTCGGGTTGGCGAACGCGCCCGCCACGTTTGAACGTCTTATGGAGAAGGTGTTGGCAGGGTTACAGTGGGAGATCTTATTGGTCTACCTCGATGACGTCATCGTTTTTGGAAAAACGGTGAAAGATGAGTTAGAACGCCTGTGCAAGGTGTTTGAACGATTGAGGAGTGCTGGACTTAAGCTAAAGCCCAGCAAATGCAACCTCTTTCAGAAGTCGGTAACTTACTTGGGTCACATTGTATCGGCAGAGGGCGTTGCCACGGATCCCGCCAAAATCAAATCCGTTGCTGATTGGCCAGTCCCGAAGAACGTTAAAGAGGTGAGGAGTTTCCTTGGCCTCGCTTCGTACTATAGACGATTCATACAAGGCTTTGCAAGCATTGCAAGCCCGTTGCACGCCTTAACTTCGAAATCGAAAGTGTTCTCTTGGGATGAGTCTTGTGAGGAAGCGTTCGTCAGACTTAAGGAGGAGTTAATGACCGCTCCAATCTTAGCATACCCATTGCCAGGCCAGGAGTTCATCCTCGACACGGATGCCAGTTTAGAGGGCATAGGCGCAGTACTGTCTCAGGTTCATGACGGTGCTGAAAAGGTTGTTGCCTATGCAAGCCGGAAGTTGAGTAAAGCCGAAAGAAATTATTGCGTCACCCGGAAGGAGTTGCTTGCAGTGGTTGCCTATCTCAAATACTTCCGCCAGTACTTATATGGTCAGAAAACACTGGTTAGGACAGACCATTCTTCCTTAAGATGGTTGACAAACATGAAAAACCCGGAAGGTCAACTTGCTCGTTGGCTGGAGGTTGTATCAGAATATGACGTCACAATTCAGCACCGCCCTGGTGCCAAGCATGGCAACGCTGATGGTCTATCAAGGCGGCCATGTAAGCAGTGTAGTCATTGTGGTAGTGAAGGTAATGATGACGATGGTGTTGAAGGAGAACAGTCGAATATGCCGAGTAGAAGTAATGAGGCAGCAGTAAGGGTTGCCGCCTTGCAACCGTCGCTAAGCGCCTCAGATCTTAGAGATGGCCAAATGGCAGATGAGTCCATGAAGTGGTTGCTAGTCGCCAAGAGCGAGGGAAAAGAGCGCCCTCCTTGGGCGGACATAGCCAGCTTATCCCCGGCCAGTAAGACGTATTGGGCTTACTGGAATCAGATATCAGTTAGGGACGGTGTACTGTATCAACGTTGGGAATCGGGAGATGGTAGTTCCTTCCGGTGGAGGCTTGTGGCTCCTCAGATCGTCAGACACAAGTTTATAGAAGAATTGCATGGTGGGAAACTTGGCGGCCATCTTGGCCTGAAGAAGACGTTGGCCCGTGTAAAACAAAGATACTTCTGGTCGGGCATGAGTGCCGATGTAAGGACCTGTGTGCGTCAGTGTAACCAGTGTGCGAGGAAGAAGCCGCCCCCTAAGAAACGGAGGGCGCCCTTGCAGCAGTATAATGTTAGGGGAACCATGGACAGGGTAGCCATGGATTTGGTTGGCCCCCTACCGAAGACGGAGGGTGGGAACCTGTGGATCCTTGTAGTAGGAGAGTACACTACAAGATGGATGGAGGCATATGCGCTTCCGGATGCGAAAGCTGAGACAGTCGCCGCTAAATTTGTTAGCGAGTTTGTGTGTCGATTCGGAGTGCCGAGAGAGGTCCATACGGACCAAGGGACCAATTTCGAATCCGAACTGTTCCGAGAGATGTGTCGGGTCCTCGGCATTAGTAAAACAAGGACTACAGCATACAATCCCAAGTCGGATGGTCTCATAGAAAGGTTCAATAAGACCCTCGTTACCATGGTATCCATGATGATTGACCCACACAAAGGTCAGCGCGATTGGGACGAGTGCCTCCCGTTTGCAACTAGTGCGTACCGATGTACGCCGCAGGAGAGTTTGGGGGAATCCCCGAATATGATGATGCTGGGTCGAGAAGTTGCTTTGCCATTGGACTTGACCGTGGAGAGTCCTGCACCAAGTGATGACGAAGTAGTACAGACGGACTATGCGCAGAATCTTAGGGACCGGATTCAAAAAGCTCACGAGAGGGCGCAAAAATGCTTAGGAAAAAGCATGAGACGCCAAAAAGTGAACTATGACCGGAGGGCAACCAACCCTTGCATCCGGGAGAATGAGTTCGTGTGGCTGTTCAACCCCGCGAAGCGAAGGGACCATTTGCGTAGGCACTACAAGATGGAGCACCCTGCGAAGCTATCCGAGGTCTCAGAGATAGACATGGAACCAGAAAGAAGAGGGCGCCCCACTGCGGTGGCTGGCCCCGAACACCCCCCGAAGGATGTACGGCTAGTCCGAAAATCGTCAGACCCCCAAGCGCCTTTTAAGGTTGTTGTGCCGTTAGACGGCAAGAGTAGTCAGGAGGCCGGTGATGACGAGCTTCCCGCCCTTAAAGGGCTGCCCCCCTGTCTGTCCCCCATTCCTCCTTCTCCTCAACGCACTGTGGAGGAGGGCTCCAGACCGCCGGAAGATGAGACGCCAAAGACGTACGAGGATGACGCCATCAGCCTGTCATCCATGCCCCCGCTGGAGATAGACACCGACGAGGATCTAGAGAAGATAACGGAGGAGCCGGAGGAAGAGACGCACGTGCCAGAGAAGAAGCCGAAATCGCAAGACAAGGCCCTAGCTCCTCCCAAGCCAGCAGCAGATGCCCGACCCAAAGCAGCAACTTCTTCAAGGAAGCAGCCTCCCGAGGAGACGCGGTTTGAGCTTCAGAGCCCGAAAATACCCAAGCTGGCCACCTTTGTGGAGCACACGGAGACCATCATCTACGTTGACAACATAATCATCTCAAGAGAATCTCGTCAACGGACCTTCTACCGGGACGTACTTGTGCAGTGCAGCCACGCACTCCCTGGCCATGGGCACGGATCCGCAACCAGGAAGAAATAGGACATCTCAGGAGATGAACTTTATTTTTGTCTTGAAGATAAAGACTTTTATTTTTCTTAAGTATATTTTGTACCGACCAGGAGAGCTTTATTTTTTGAGACGTATGGGCCAAAACTGGGCCCGAAAAGTCGTTGTATTGCTAAGATAATTGCATTAAGATCTTAGAACCCATTGTTAAGGTAAACAAAATGTTTGAAGTGTTTGTGTATTACTATTGTTGTTCCTAATGTTTCTCTTTCAGGTTTTCAAATTAAAATAGGTTTGTAATAAGATACCTGTCACGTTTTGTATAAAAATGTCGGCTTATCTAAATGAGGGCATTTAGGCCTGTCAGGAGGCTGTGTAACGTGACAGAGGGCGCTTTTGCGTGGAGCGCTGTAGCTAAAATTAGCGCATATACTTTTAGTGCATAGCAGTGGGCTAGGCGCGCACAGCGCTTAGGCTCCGCCTCGCGCGTTCACCATTGGGCAGTGGGGTCACCGCTCGGTGACGTGCAGCACGCGCGCGCAGGCGCATATGGGCCAGCGGCCGGCTCGGTAGGCTATATAAGGCGCGCAGAAAAGCGAAATCGGGGGACCTGATTTCTGGTTCGAAACGCCGGCACTTGCGGGCGTGTGGTAAGGCATTATACCTCCTGTACTTAGGTGGTAGGGCTGTTGGGCGGTATTGTGACGGGTCGGTTACGGTTCCTCGAGCTGGTGCTGGGTTGCTGCGGGATCAATTGTCCCTTCTTGGGGGCGTGGTTTCGTTGTGATCTTGGCTCCGCGAGTAGGGGCTGGTGGTGCGTTCGATCGAGATAACTGACTCCGGCACGGTCTGCCTATACGGACCTGCGTGCGCTAGGCTAATAGGAAACAATAGGTACATTGCTAATACTGCGCGCTGTGGATGTGAGCGGGTAAGTTAAGGGGCCTAATTGTAGTGCGGTTCGAGTCGTCCCTTATAGGGACTTGCGTGATATCTGGCCCTAGACTTGCATTAGTCTCACGCATATTGCGCTTGCGAAGGAACTTGGAACTCCCCCCTCACTGGATTATCGTACACTGCTTTTATCCCGTAGTTCATTGCACCCCCTGTATATAAGTGTTGCATTTCACAGCGCCCTCTGTTGATCTCTTACTGTTCAATTCTTGGATCGGAGTGGGCCTTTTTGTGATTCCAAGAGGAAAGTGAATAAAACAGTGGTTATTATTTCTTGGTAAATGAAACTGGTGTCACAAGGCTGTTCATTGGTTCTCCCTCTCAGTTACGTCGTTAAGGATTAGGCCAATCAGATTAAAGCGCGCTGCCCAGTCACATAAAAACAACTAGCTTTCCGACCGGGACGGTATATTTCCATCCCAACGGACTCGTCTCTAGCCGCTCAGGGACTTTCCGGTACGTGCCGTCCGCGCCACGCCTGTGGAGAGGGCGCCCTCTTTCGAGCACCGCTCCACGCTAAGGGCGTGACGTCACAATACAGTCAGCTACGAAGCACTGTGCCATTTCACAGTCTTATTATGTTCTTAATGTCTGGGATATCTCGACTAGAAAATGTTAACATAAACCGCCCAATTAAAATGGCGGACGAGATATTGTGTGGAACGGTCCCTATTGGAGACGACTCCGCGTGAATTATTCATGTAAATTTGAAAAACCCAGAAACCCAAATGATGTTAAATTTTGACAATTCTATTTTCATGTTTTAAATTATATTTTTATTTGAAGGCAAACAAGTGAATATTGGAACAAGCCACCATGGTTCTATAGGTAAGTGTGATTCCGTGTTTTTACTCTCACATCGATAGAATGATCATCAGTTGTTTTGTAAATTACTAAAGGGATGCCGCGCTTCGCGCGGCATGCGCTAGCAGGATGGAGTCATATACTAATGTTTACTGTAACCTCAGTTGGCATGTTGACCCAAGTGGGCGTGGTAATTCCTTAGTGAATCAATTTTTGTCCCATTTCTCATCATCAATGTTGTGTTTGCGTGATACCAATACGTTTCGGTATGATCTTTTTGATCTTTTTGTGAGAGAAATTGTGTTATTTTTTTGATCGGGTGATTCAATATTATATTTCCTCCTTCCTTCCCCTATAGTGACGTGGGTATGGTCCACATGCAGCGATTTCACTGTCCTTTGAAGTCACGGTTAGCAGTAAAAAATATATATATTGATTTGTTTTGTTTTGCTTAAATGGCAAATTTGGTGGTTTTTTATTACAACATTATCTCTTTGAAAACACACCAAAACGTATTGCACGGCCATTATGGTTCAACAGTCTCAGGTTGTCCCAACGCTCTTTATAATACGGCTCTGGTCTAAATTTGTGCACAGCGCCACCAAGTGTCAGAAACCCCGGTGACAAAATCCTTGGAACATATCCAAGTCAAGTTGCTACTTTACTCAATCGGCTTTCCTCCTTTTCAACTGAACGTTACAGGTCTTTCCTTGCGGGAAGTAGGAAACCATGAAGCCCAGTTCATAACCCAAGATGGCGACTTCTCTGACATGTATTGCGACTCGGCGTATCCCATCACCGCATCAAACATCGGTGAATCTTGCTCAGAGGATCAACAAAATCATCCCTTTATTTGCCAGATGTAAACTCGTTGGATGTAATTTGTCGTTGGACATCAACATGCATCTCAAAAAAAAAAGGCACACAAAATTGTCCAGGTCAAGAAAAATACTGGCCCAAAGTGTCCTAAACTGACTCACTCTCAAATCTTAATTCGCACAGTCGAAGTTAAAACACTGAACTTGCACACATTCCCACAACAGTGCGAGTCAAAAATAAAATGACCGAGTTAGAAAAAAAAATATATAAAAAAAACGTATGGTTCGCTCCATTAAATAAACAGTAACACAGGAATACAGTACAGGCTATTTATTGACTAGTATAACTGTAACCATTTCACGTAATTTGCATACTATAATCATAAGTTATCTCTCTTTTAATATACATGTACCACAAAATGCAGCTGCCCACCACTGACCGTTTACCGATACACATTAATAAATACATGTTATAGTTTAAGTACAATGAACCATTTGGGTTTTCCTACCTTCATCAATGAATGAAAACTCGCAAAGGAAAATCGACAAAATACACAATCAACATTTCAGAGAAAGACTGGATTTGTTCCCCCAAAACAAAAACTTACCGAAACAATTATGTTTCACACTCGGCTAAAATTATTACAATCTCATTTGTATGTGAATTCATGTGTGTAATCTTTAGTTCTCAATCAGCCTAAAACCTTCAAAACATTTACAATAATAATGGACAGCTGTAAAAAAAAATAAGGGAAAAAAAGGTTATTTTAGTAAAACATGCATAACATCTAATAACAAGGGTCGATTTCTGTATATTTTATTCAAATGAGTGGAACAACATGCTCGTTTAGTGCATGCTTTATTGGTGTATCAAATTTAATTGTTTTTTATTTGTTATTAATTCTCACTGGTCAATTCTGTTGGACCCACTCTGATATATTAATGTGTTTTGTGCACAAACCGTCGCAATAGCTGACGTAATAAAGTGACTTAACCCTAAAAGGGCCGGTGACGGAATCCGCCCCTCTCAACTATTTCCGCGTTGCAAAAAACAATTCCTGGCTCGAGCTTTCCTGACGTTTAAGCCTCAGTCGAGTCTCACGCGACTTTTGATACCAAAAACATAAAATTCCGACCATTGGTTACCGCGCAGCGAATTTATTCCCAAACTAAATTCCCCTTATGTAGTGTACACAAAACATAACAACCATTGGTGCATATCAATAGTTAAGTAGCCGATAATTCCAAAACCCTTAAACCCATAGTCATGGGATTTCCTGGGTATGTTCATATGTTAAGTTGTTACACCAAGTTTCAAATTTTTTTTGTCACTAAATGGCAGGAATCCGCCCCCCGGCTGTGAGATGGTCCAAATAACCCAGCTCCTTTATAGTTAAAGCACTTGAAAATGCTTTAAAACGTTTCAGAATCAAAGGAATTGTTAAGTTATATTTTCAACAAATTTCATTTTGCCTTGTAGTTAAAGTCTGGTATTAAATCCGTTTGTAATTTTGTAACAGTTATTGCACCTTATCTATTCTCGAAAATTAAGCAAAATGCTTCTAGATTAGTGTCCTAATTCGGGCGATTCACAATGCAGTGCGCCACCAAGAGTTTGCCACGGAGAGTTAATTTTTTCCAGTGCATTGTGGGAGATGGTCGACAAATTCGCAGCGCGGGACATTTGAAATCGTTAGTTTTTCCGGTCAGTGGTTTCGAAAGCGTATGATTCGAGGATCTGTTTGCCCATTTCTTTTCTTCTTATCAATATGGTGTTTTTGGTATTAAGGCGGCAGAACGCTATGCCTCAATCTTTGACATATAAGCTCAAGTTGTCTACCGACACTCATTCAAATGGGCCATGTTTTGTCGACCGTAAACTTGAAAAATGGACTCTCCGTGGCAAACTCTTGGTGGCGCACTGCATTGTGAATCGCCCGAATTGGATGAAGTTTCACAATTGTTGACACGTACATAACAGCAATAGATGGTGATGTTATACTGAGTATAGTAATGGTTAAACATGTTTGAGCATTTACGTGTGTAATATTCAGGGAATAAATGTGTGCTTGGGAGGTGTTACAAACAATATGTTTCAGACTGACCGGAGTCTGGAATGCTGGCCGAGGGGTAATTATAAGCACTCCAGACTTCATTCAAGATTACCTTTTCGGTCAAGATATCAACACTTTTCGGTCCAAAAGTCAAAACAAGCCGAAAATTAAAAAATGTCCAACGATTTTGTTCAACAATTTTTACTTTCTGTTGTTCGTAACACCTCTCTAGTTTGATAATGGAGTGTCCAGCTCGCGAGTAAGACAACTCCTTTTCTGGAGATAAACAACTCCTTTTCTGGAGATAAGCGCGCGTCGCGCGTACTGCGCGTTGACGCGCAGATGCAGCTTTAGTGAGTGCGTTGTAAATTAAGGACTATAAATTGTAGTATTGCGCATGCCTACCTGAGGATGGTAAACGTTCGACCAATAAAACAGTTAAAGGCACTGGATTTCATAGGAACCTAAATTTCAGGTGACACTGGAAAAGTGATTGAGACCAGCAAGACCGGAATCCGCCTCCCCCTCAACTTTTTCCGCGATACCCTTGCAGTTTTATTTTCGCGACCCGAGCTGTCCTGACTTTTTAGCCTCGAGTCTTGCGCATCTTAGGGTGCATCCCTTTTAAAATTTATATTGTTTTCAATTCCATTTGAAATTTGTTGTGGAAAATGTGTTGAGCACGGATGGGTGAAGGGTCAAGGGAATGGAGCTTAATAATATGAAAATAACTCGTCTCTTCAAGTCTGAGTTATTGGCATAAACATTCGAGATAACATTAACAGTTACAGTAGTTATTTCTCGTTCACAGAATTGGAAGACTTGTAATATCAGATGTAAATTCATCAGGTCTGAAGGACCTCATTTTCTTGGCTTTAAACGGTGGGCTGACATTTAAACCTGCGAAGTAGCAAGCCGTACATGTGAACTTTTGCAAGAGAGTACACTGTAAAAACTAAATTGTTACTCCCAACTATCGAATTGTTAAAACTAAACACTTTCTCATGGTTTGGTCAGTGACGACACTTAAATTGTTAATTCAACGCTTTTGAAAGTGTTAAGAATCCTAGCACTTTGAAGTGCTAGGGCGTTTTGCAACACTTTAAAAAGTATAATTATAAACAAGTGTTGGGATTCAACACTTTGAAACTTACCGAATAGCCTTTTACCAATCCTTTGAAAATGTTAAAACAACTATTCAGTTTCCCTTTTACCAATTTCTAAGTGTTAACAAAGAGTTGATATCCAAATCTTTTACAATATTGAAACGACTACTAATTGTTACCACTAAAAAATGACAAAAATGTATCCTTTAAAAGCACTGACGCAAAAACGATCAATAAAACAAATGGAGAATATCACTGACGGGAAGGTACTTTATTCAGACTTTAAAACAAAAACTGCGAATTGCAAACTGTAAAAAATATACACACTGATGCGTGCTTCAAAACAATTATAATCAGCTGTCAATTAAGACTCGTTCTTTTTTTCTATTGTCAGTTTTGTGTGTGTGCCATATTTGCTAGTTTTACTATCCAACCGATCTGAACAAGTACATTTTTTATGAATTTCAAACTTGAATAAATAACCAATACATTTTTTATTGTGGTGTATTTCCAGAAAGTTCAAACAACAGGTATTTTAAATTTGGATAATTCATCGTCAAAAACCATGTATGGTTTACTGCTTTGATTTGTGACCTGCTTTTGTTTTGCATGGCGGGGGTTACCCTACGCATAGACGACGTAAACTTTATCGGATCACAATTTACCCTTCTTTGGTGGTAACAATAACTGCCTTTGCCCAACCGTCCGTGACTTACAAGGCTATACCATTACCGGTTACTTACTGGGTTCTTAGTCTCACGGGTCCCTTACAATAGCCGCTAATTTAGGTCAATTTTTGTGTGTGTATTCTCATTGGAGCCCCATTGATCCATTCTCGCACAGTAACACATGAAATGCACTCTAGGCATTTCCATAATTACCAAGGACAATTCCCTATCTTGACAAATGTTATCAGATACCTGAAAAGTGAACCAGTCCATACCATACGGGGAGTTCGCATGATTTGCTGGCCTCGGTCTTGCCCCATAGGGTAAGGTAAAATATTATTTGTTCAATACTTTGTGGTCACAGAAGCGTAAGCTGATAAAATAGGAAGTACTGGCAAGTTTTTTTTTTTTTTTTTTTAAGTTTCTCTCTTTGAAATAAAACAAATCCCAGTACTGCTTGATAGTGGCCTCATGCATTGCGTGCAGCTCCATTCGGTGGGTTATGCTAGTGTAATTTTCCTAGGCTTTATGTGTGCGAGTAGAGACAGTGTCAGAATTGTAAACAATAATATTGTTTGTTAATTTAGTGTTTATAGGTCACATAATTCAAGGGCTGAGAAAACTAGCACACAGGTCGAGCGTTCGCGTCTGTATACAAAAGGCACCTTCAGAACGGGGTTCAGACGGAGTGAAAATAGAGCTTTGACTCGGGTCATTTCAGTCCGATTTCCAGAAAGTTTATTTCAATCAGTACATTTACGGGTTACTTTTACGGATTACATTTGCGGGTTACATTTGCGGGTTACATTTGCGGGTTATATTTGCGGGTTACATTTGCGGGTTATATTTGCGGGTTACACTTGTGGGTTGTAGTTACCTATTAACCCAGTTTCTTTAAATAAAATCTATATTTATGTAAGAGGCAATATATGTAAATTGTAGAGGTGATTATACAGCGAATAAAACAAGTAACAGAGTGATTGTCCCGGCACAGAAATAAACTGTCCTTTTGTCCATTATTGTGTCCTTATTATTGCGTGAACCCAAGAGATTCACAATCAACTACAAATCGGTGGAAAATTGCTCCCAAAACGAATCCATGTTTCTCATGCCCTAGATCGCTCTGACGATCTCCGCCACAAATGGTGTCAGAAGTGGGATGCATGATTTGAATTGATTAGGTTGATCTCTTGTGAGTAAAGTTCATGCTGGTTTGGATATTTTCCGTGTGGTAAGTCGTCAGTCTGATTGTAAGTTGTATACGTGATCCGATACACCGTGCCCTCTGGAGACATGCACACAATAGGAAACAAAATATTGTGTACGTCTCCACAGGGCAATTTCTATCGATGAATACGTCTCCACAACGGTTTTCATGAAATAAATACATGGACTTTACTCAAAAACTAGAAATGTTCAAGGTGGGTTGATCCATCGCAAATGGAAGAGTTTTAGAAAAGGGATATTAAGTCCAAATTTCAGCCAAGGAATTTAATTCTGGTTAAAATAACAGCATTTTGAAATTACACTTTCAAACTACAAATGTCTCCACAAGGTTACAAATTTCAGTATGGTAGTTTGGTTGTTGTGTGGAATCCGTGTGGAAGTGAGAAGCTTGCGCAGATCCGCAAGGGACCACACGAGGACACTGTTAAGAATTAACAGTGTAGTCAGCAGGACAGAAGAGAGAACTGCCCTGTGGAGTTTAGAGGAGAAATTACACGAAATATTTTTTACAAAATGTTGCCACCAAAAATATTTATAATGTGTTCAATATGCACAGTAGATTCTATAGTTGTAATATCAAACGAATTATTGCGGTTAGACAATAAGGCAAACAACGTATGTATAAGGCATTCAACAAGTTAACAACATTATATATAAAGAATAACAACCATGGTTACATTTTATTTACACATGTATGGGTTAATTCCAATCAGGCGTTTACCATCCATTTTGATTAAACATAAGCCAAATGCTAAAGGCTCTTGTGAAGCCCGTTACCGCACCTTTCGTAAGATTAGAAGATTCGCACGATGAAGATCAGCAATAAGGGTAAGTTTGCGTTGAGAACACATTAAACAAATAATAATGGTGTGTGTAAGATTACGATATTCTAACTATGGTAGGTATAGGAGAACTAGAGGTGGTGCACATAGCATTCACTGTGTGATAATAATAATAATAATAATTTGGGAGGCTAATCATCCTTACTCGCAGCTGGGATGCAGAATTGCGAAGGATGCGGCTACAACGTTGTCGGGCCGCTGGCACGTGAAGGCGCCTATGGCTGCCGGCCACATCCACCCATATATGACCACGGAGCACAGCCTGAGATCGAAAGTGTTTGATTTTGCCGGAGGGAGGAAAACCGGAGGGCCCGGAGAAAAACCTTCGTGGCACAGGAGAGAACCAACGCACAACTCTACTCACATGTGATCCGCCGCCAGGATTCCAACCGTGGTCACCTTGGTGAGAGGCGAGCGCTTTACGCACAAGCCACCCAAGCACCTCTCAACAAAAGAGGTTCACATCAACCAGGTAGCAGAGACGTTGTGCTGAATTGCCAACGTCAACACAAGGTTTCCCTCTCTCTTGATAACAGGATTAGAGGCATTTTGAGCTTAGGGTTACTGGTCTCAATCCGAAGAGGAATGTCCAAAGCATGTATGAAAGGTAAACGACTGAACTTCTGCGCTGAACGACTTAGCAGATATAGCTCTCGTGTGCGCTAGGATTTCCGCTTCCAGGTCTCTTACTCATTTCAATTCAATTCAATTTGACTTTATCATCCCTGACGGAAATTCCATTGGCCTTTTACATTTAAACACGTTAATGAAAAAAAAGTTACAAAATTACAAATAATATTTTACAAAAATCACAATACATGTAGCCTACTTCACTAAAAAGAAAGATATATAAAAAAATATTAACATTAATACAGATAAAATACAGCACATAACCTAAAAAAGCCTGTTTAAAATTCCATGTGGTTCCAATTTAAATCCTGTGTTATACAAACTACTCGAACAAATGTTCGTGTAATATTCACTATTTCAATCCCATAAATAACGACGAGCAGAATATGCGCCTAAAACGTTGAATTACCCCCAGTTTTTTAAGAAACTCACAAATTCACACACAACAATTGCCAAATAGTGCTAACGCAAACTTACTCATTACTTCGTAACCTCCATTTCATTAAATATAAAACCTTCAAGCTGCATAGCAATCAAATTGACGTAGTGTACACGACTATTTCATTTGAAAAATATACCTATTACAGTAACATAAATATCAGTAATATACAATTTAAAACATTGCTTTTTTATTCAATTATAAACAATCCCAAATTCCCTGACGTCATTTCCAATTTTTACTTTACGATTAAAAAGTATATGTACGCTACCCAAATGAATAAAAGTCAGTATGATAATAGAATATAAAAACAAATAAACGTTACGATATTTATGTATTGTTAGTTTTGATACATCTTTTAGTATTTGACTGGTTAAGTATGTTCACCTCTAAAAATCAATGTTGACGAAAAACACCATGAAGCTGAATAAAATTAAGGCCAGTAAGCAAAAGGTTTCGGATAACACACCGGCATTGATACACTGCATGTAGGCTACTGAAGTATACAGTAACATTATGACTAGATTCAGTAGAAGAAATCGTCTCTCATTTCTTGATCCATTTGACGCATCTGTTGGAAAAGAAATATATAGAAAACAATTGCAAACTAAAAGTTCAGTTAAATACTCAGAACTGATCGTTCAAATAAAATGTGACAGCACAAACACATTTCTACCATCAATCCGATTACATGTCCTACATGTTTTAAACTAAAAGCCAGTAGGAGTTGTTGAGCCCTGACCTATGTGTTTGAAAAAATAAAAGGGTGTGCTTACCAGTGCTGGGCCGGGTATCATGTATGGAGATGTACTGGGAGGCCCCGAGAAGCCGTCCTCTCTACGATAGTTAGTACTATAGTCATAGGCCCCATAGAATGCGCGTGCGTCGTCCATTGAACCATCGTCCATTGCCTGCATTTTCATGGCAAACAGGACAAAAACTGTTAGTGCCACTAAAGTGCTAATTGATATAAAGATACCCCTTAATAATAAAAAAACACAACAATTGTGTCTTACAAAGTTCAAAGTTTTATGATCGGAAAAAAATACATCGTAAACATAATTAGGTTCACAATCGAAATGACTTGGAAAGTTATATCAGAAGTGAATAAGCCAGTTTGGTATTCCAACTTCGCATGAGCACACCAAGATTTGCCAAATTTTCTTTTGGGATAAGCATTTCATAGTGTGCGTGCAAGAGCATAGCCGGGTACTAGCAAAATTGAAGAGATCATCGTGAAGTTTACATTTTGCAAAAACAAAATTGAACAGCGAAGTGATTTAAAGTGTTTTGTGTGTCAAAACTTGTGTGCGAACGAAAGTTCAATCTCTTTTCGATTGCACGAAAAAATGCACAGAATGCAGATTTGGTTACCATGTCCTCCATAGCCTGGTATGCATTTATTTGCCGCGGTTATTCCGAGAAAGAAAAATCGTCGAATCTTGCTGTGTACCAGACTATTCTGGAATACCGAACTGGCTTATTGGTAAGCCCTTCCTTTACAAAGTGAAAAAGGGCTTGGTAATTCGGCTTGTTGCGAGAAAGTGGAACATGCTTACCAAGACGGTGCGGGGCATGATAGCAGGGCGAGTCCAATTCCTCACTCCGTAGCGATAACGCTGTCTGGCATGGTCCATATCCTATTTGGAATAGATGGACAGAATTTAGAGACACAAGTTACACATGATACAATATTACAAAACATTTTGGTCATACAACTAATAACTGAACTTGAGTGAAACTTGATTGGTCTCTTTTTTGTTATTATAAAGCGATTGTCTGGCTTGAGAACAAAGAACTAGAACATTCAGCTTATTTGATAGGTGTGTGCCATGGATATAGCAAAAACTGAGTCGTATCATAACAGGTAATATCAGACAGTAATCTATGCTTGATACAGTCTTTAAGACTTAGTAGATTCCTTCCTAAGCTGTTTTTGTGGGTTTTTGTCCAATTACAGTCGATTAAAAAAAAAAAACGTCATAAATAAATGACAGACCTGTTGTGCTAAACGTTTGCGTCGTTGAACATCATAGAGGCTTTCAGAGCGATTTGCCATGATGAAGCACATGCACATCGCGACAACGATGCTGCATAACAGGATTGCACCGACTGTAGAGGCAATGGCAATGATTCCACCGTTGACAAGTCCATCTGTTATGATAAAATCAAATGGAAAGATTGCCCTTTACTATTAAATGACGCAACGAGAAAATAACAGACTTAATTTGGGACATTCAATGGCAACATGTATTAAGCTTATACCAGTACTGTTCACATTCCTATGTGTTGTTCGTAGAAGTTAGTACAAGTCACACCGAGCTCGCGTCTAGAGATGAACAATTACACTAATTAGCCGTTGAGTAAAATGCAGTTATGTTATATATTCTTGTTCAACCAGAATGAAGTGGCTGTTTCATGTTATTTTTTGCATTGCCGTACAGAGCATACATTTCGCACCTGTTTCCTCGCAATTGGTCCCGCTGTAACCATCCGTACACCTGAGAAATGATAACGATTTCAATGCATTAATCATTACAAAGATTTATAAGAATTTCATATTTTCAAAGCTTTAATTTTACAAATATTAATAATCCTCGACTCAGTGACTTCCCTGTCTAATTTAGGTAGCCTCTAAATTGAAAATTATGTTCAAATCATAGCCCCATTCATATATCAGACGACCTATGACGGCATCAGACACGTATTACGAAGCCATTGGATACATTTTCCTAGTTTTAAGTGCACCACGTGTTCACATATTGTTTTTTTTTAAGATTTGCAGGACTTACTCGCACGTGTACACATAATCTGGGAAACTTCCGAATTGTGTACACACGCCTCCATTTTGACAATGATATGCCGGGCAAACTTCAGTGGGAGCTGTTTTAAGAAAACAAATCATCCAAATTAACTCAGAAGTTGTAAAAACGTCATTATTACGTTTTAATAGACAGTCACTTCCACGTGACGAACGTCAGAGCGTGCAGAATTAGAAAGCCAGCTCAATTTACGGAGCTAGTTGTAGACAAAATATTCCCCCAAAGTTGTACCAGACACTTCATTAGCAGATTTGTTTTTGGCAAAATGAGTGTTTTGTATGTTTTTTTAAAGGATTCCGAAAAAGCACCGTGTGTTAAATTTACTAATTGTTTGATTTTTTTTAATGATGTCCTACTATAGTGGCCATAAAAAGACAGGCATTATTTACGTTAATGTCGTTAATTATTTCACGTATGTGGTGAATGCTGAATTAAACCGTCAGAAAAGACTTGTAAAAAGCCTATTGGATTCGGGATAGAAGACCCAAGTAGAAATAGTGGGGAGAGGACGAACAAATGCACAACGTTGCAAAAAGCAAAACAAAAACAAAAAACAAAACAAAACGAAACAAAGCAACGAAAACAGCAGCTGTGAAACATTTTAGTTTCGGTTAAATTGAAGTTTGCTCGGGAGTGTATTGGACCTAAGTTTCAAAGGATGACAAATCATCGATGTGTCAAGTTTACTTCAAACATGACCAAACATATTCAACATAACTGTCACGACTGTGCCCGATTGATCAATGGTGAGTGAGTTGTCGATTTGTCCGTTATTGGCCGTCGCGTCGCTGTGAAGCACTTCTCTTAAGGTTTCACTCTCGATGACGGAGTCGAGAGGGAATCTGGCCACACCGTTCACCAACAAACTCCCGTCACGAAAAGAGATCACCTCATAGTCCACTACATTGGATGTCCTAGGTGACCTGCGAAGGGCTGCAATCACCTATTAAGTAGAGAAGCACCGTCAAGCAAGAGTAAAATATTACAAAACATCAATCAATATACTTTAAGTATCTTCAGAAAGAAAATCACAGCGAAGTAGCCCCTGATGAACAACAAATGTAGGAATAGCAAATGTGACCTATCCCCAAAAATATTTGCTTAAAGTTGGAAATTGCCATGTTGCAGTAAAGTTACAACTGATAATGTACTAACCAACGGATAATGTATCACCAACCGATAATGTATCGCAAATTGACCGATGATTAATGTATAGTAACCGATAATGTAACAAAGATTGACTGATAGTGTAATGAATTTAGGTACTCTATCAGTCATTTTTGTTAGATTATTGGTTGGAACCAATAATGTAATACCAATTGACTGATAGTGTAGTACATTTTACCACCTTTTCGGTATTATTTTGTTACATAATCGGTTAGTGATACAATATCGGTCAAGTCTAGTGATACGTTATCCGTTGGTTACTACATTATCAGTTGTAGCAAGTACAGTAAGGCAAAGCCAACATTTGAAGGAGTGGTCAAGTTGTTTTTGCTTCCAGGAGAACCTTGATCTGTGAGTCCACGTTTCCCTTCTTTCATTGTGTCTGTACAGTCAAAAATCTTTAAAACCTATTTCATCCCATTTCATTGGTTGACTGTTTATTCATTGTAACACAACTTCAGACCTGCGGGATATTTAAATGCCATTTTCTCGATTATCAGCTTTACTACTTCAAGTAAGTTGGTGGTCTGTTTTTTCCGTTACTGCAGTTAGTACCCTTAAATGTTATGTATATATCATTGGAAAGCTCTTGTTCGGCAGAATGCAAATAAATAAATCTCTCAATTCGGGCGATTCACTATGCAGTGCGCCACCAAGAGTTTGCCAGGGAGAGTCATTTTTTTTGCCAGTGCATTGTGGGAGATGGTCGACTAATTTCCAGCGCTTTCTGGTCAGTACTTTCGTAAGCGTGATTCGAGTATCTGTTTGCTCTGTTCTTTTCTTTTTATCAATATAATTTTTTTTTATAAGGCGGCAGAACTCTATGCACCTACTGTAACAAATTAGCTCAATTTGTCTACTGACACTCATTCAACTGGGCCATGTTTTGTCGACTGTAAACTTGAAAAAAAAATGGACTCTCCATGGCAAACTCTTTGTGGCGCACTGCATTGTGAATCGCCCGAATTTGGAAACAATCAGACTTTAAGCTCATTTTGTGATGACAGTTATGACACACCACAAAATCCAGCAGAGCAAAGCACTTGACAAATCGTGAAATTTGCGGCAACAAATAAATTAATATTGGCCAGAAAAGGACTTCTGTCATAAATACATTGGACCAAGTTTCTTGGGGGAAATTAACCAAAGGGTTATAAACAATACCATGTTTGATTAATGTTGTTGTTGTACTGAATACTTAGTTTATAACAATACAAAGCTGTATTGTTTACTTACTGCATTGCGAACACATACTGCTCGTTCGCGGAATAGTTGCGAGGTACTGTCCCTGAGTTGATCACTGAAAACCGCAGGCTGACCGCACAGTTCAAGAACCAGTAACTGTGTGCCGAACTGCACGAGACCTGTTACAACAAAATAGTTCCAGTTATTTACACAATAACTCTCAAGTAACTCTGTGCCGAACCAAGGGCGGATCCAGAAAACAATTTTGGGAGGGGCCAAAATTTGTTTTGGTCCCCCCAAAATGTGGGTCAAAATTTTTTTGGATTCTAGATGCTCTGTGGTGCGATCTAAGGCAATTTCTGACCACTTTAACCAATGTTTTTTTGAGGAAAAGATGGTGGTGTACTCATTGTCTGCCTTTATTGCGATGTCACATAAAACAAAACAAAAATTGGTTTCGTTTTTTTTTTGTTTTTTTTTTTTTTGGGGGGGGGGCATGGCCCCCTTTGGCCCCCCCCCCCCCCCTGGATCCGCCCTTGTGCCGAACTCCAACAGCCCTGTTTGGACTAGAGAACATGCGGACTATTGAACCTTTGGACTATCGGGCGGACCACATTTACGACTACCCTGGTTAGACCTGGTTAGAGAAGATGGCTTAGTGTCATACCTCCAGAAGCTGACGTTACTCTGAGAGTTGATAACTCCCCGAGCGGTGCTCCTGCTGTGGATAGTCCATCATTGGTTGAAGTGGTTGGCAGCTGACCTGGCAGACCTGTTGTGGCAAGCTGATCGACCAGCGGGTCTGTTGAAGGGGATGCTTGGCTGGTGGTGTCGATAGGTGATCCTGTGGTTTGTTCAATCAATTGACGAGTTGCGGATACCCCAACAGTGGATTCTGGTCTAGTGGATGCTTGGTCGATCGACACATCCGTTGTTGCCATCCCACCTTCTTGGTCAGTAGTGGATTGCTGGATTGTTGCTTCGGCAGTGGGAGTTTGGTTGATCGAGGCCTCTGTTGTTGTAATCCCACTCTCTTGGTCAGTAGTGGATTGCTCGACTGTTGCTTCTGCAGTGGAAGTTTGGTCGGTCGAGGCCTCTGTTGTTGCCATAACGCTCCTTTGGTCAGTAGTGGATAGCTGGATAGTCGTTACTTCTGTGGTTGGTGTTTCTTCTGTAATAACGTTAATGTAAATATGTCGTTTTTCTGTTAAATTAAAGCAAAACTTGTGGTCATACAAGACCAAATTTAATTTGGTCTTGTATGACTACAACTTTTGGCTGAATTGAACAGAAATTCTAACCAAACCAATCAGTCATACATTAACCCAATTTCGAGTTTATTGCTGTTTTGAACCTTTTTGGGTAAAATGAACCAAGGCAATTTTTCAGTGTAAAGACCCATTATTCATTTCTTATTACATATGAATGTCATTATGTTTTTCTTATATAAGATTGTAACACTCCTTGAAAAATGGCAACATTTTAAATAAGGGTTCTGCTTATTACCTATTGGAACAAATTTGAAAAAAAAATTGTTTGAAGTCATTGTTAATGATACTTGAATGGTTAATTACAAAATACCAACACCCACGTAACACCAGACCTTAATTATTACAACTTGCTGAACCTCAAGAAATCCCCCTTTTTAAGTGGGCCTATGGGAAGAAAAACACCAAACAGTGCCAACAAAAATAGAAACGAAAAATATACCTTCGATCAATGCTATTCCCACGTCATCGATTGCGATATCTGACAGACCCGTTGGGCCACGAACTGCTCGGAGAGCTATTCTGAAGCTTGACGTCACTTCTGACAGTACCTCGTGCTGGATCCAGCTTGGGTCACCTGGCCCTCCGCCGGAAGTGAAGAGACGGTCACCCTCGGATAAACTCCCATTTTCTGGGGTTTTGAAGACATCTAAACGACCTGCAAATTTCAATGATGAAGTCAAAATGCAAAGCGAACATTAATCTAAAAAAAAACATGTGACATAATTCGGCCGTTTTACAATGCAGTGCGCCACCAAGAGAGTCTATTTTCAGGTTTATGGTCGGCAAAACATGGCCCATTTGAATGAGTGTCAGTAGAAAGCTTGGCTAATTTGTTATAGATTCGGGCATAGCGTTTTGTCGCCTTACTAAAACACCATATTGACGAAAAAAGAAAAGAAAAGTACAAACAGATACTCGAATCATACGCTTATGAAACTACTGACCGGAAAAAGCCCGAGCAATTTCTAATGTTCCGCGTTGCAAATTTGTCGACCGTCTCCCACAATTATGCACTAGGAAAAACTCTTGTCGGCGCACTGCATTGTGAAACGTCCGAACTTTTGCTGTGGTATGATTTATAAGGGTAGATTCAAAGGAGTTGTCACACTGTATTATTTTTCAAGGAAACAGAAACAACTTCTTTGCAGCCAATAACCATGTAGAGCATATAGAGAGCTTCCCAAATAGTAATGGTTCTGTAGCGACACGTAATTAAAACACTTTTGTCCGTTTGGCTGACCATACTTGCGTTGCACTTTGGTGACAAATGTCGCTGCACAAACAAACGCACATGCATGTACAAATCGCCATCTTTGTCATCGTTGCATGCAGAAGAGTTAGTACGTCAAGTTTTCATCATTTTTTATCGTGTTCTACTGTTTATATTTTCGTCATTGTTGTTAGTAAATATTTTCACCCATTTCGTCTTTGTCAACTGTACATAATTTGTCTCCATGAGTGTTATTTCTGCCATATTCGGCGGGAATAAAACCCGAGCTGTGGTTCGCCGAACGTACGGCTCCGACCAGGTTGCGGTGCACCGCCGTCGGACTATACCACGCTGCAGGCCCTCGATCATCGGACACGCGTAGAAATCAGTCATCAGAGGTGAGTCGATGTTGGCAGTTAACCTTAGATACCCCACCGTTTTAATGGTAAAGGGGGAACTCAGTGAAGGCGTGCCTTCCTGCCCTGCTTGTGGGATCCAGGGCATGCCCCCGATTTTTTGAAGTCTACCAAAACTTTCTCCCATTCTAAGGCAATCCGAGAATGAAATTAGGAACTCTAGCATTCCAGGTTTTATTTGTTAATTGGCCCCATTTTCTGTATCATAACAGTAGTGACTGTTGGACGGGGATGAAGGGGGAGGGGGGGGTGGTTCTACATCCGCTACCGATATAGAACCTATCACCTGCTAAATCATGAAAGGGAAGGAGAGATATTCCTACCTAGTCCACTGCCGTACATGTGATACCAGAAGCTGAAGATCGCGTTGCCAGTATGTGTCACAACAGGACTAAGTAAGACAGCGGTATCGCCCTCAGATGTAAAGTTCCCGTCTAAGTAAAGATAGGATCCACCTAAATCCACAAAATGACCAATGGAAAGGAATTTAACAATGTGCGCAATGTCCACAATTCTGGCGTTTAACAATGCAGTGCGGCCACCAAGACTTTGCCACGAAAAGTCCCTTTTTAATTTTACAGTCGACAAAACACGGAGAATTTGAATGAATATCAGTAGTGAACATCGGCTAAAATGTTAGGGATTGGGGAATAGCATTCTGCCGCCTTACAAAAACACCATATTGATAAACTTAAAGGAAAGGGCAAACAGATGCTTGAACCACGCTAACAAAACTACTGACCGGAAAAGCTAACAACTTTCAAATGTCCCGTGCTGTGAATTTGTCGACCTTCTCCCACAATGCATTGGGACAAAAATGCACTCTCCGTGGCAAACTCTTGGTGGCACACTGCATTGTAAATCGCCCGAGTTGGTTCGATCGAATTCAGATCCACTATTTGGTTCGTATTAGTATCTCAAAATATTAAGGAACATGTCTTAAATACGAAACCTGGTATACAGTTTCTTCGTCCCGCCTCGTTCATTAGACTAATATTTTGTTTAAAAGGCACACTTTTTAACAGTATTTGTGCAGACTTGAGCCTAGTTTTTATCGGTTGGGTCACAACTATAGGCTAAATTAGTATAATTAAGGAGTCGGGACGAAGTGATTACAATATTAGGGGGGGGGGGGAGGGGGAATTGGGCTGGTACCATTTTCTCAAAAATAGGGGGGCGCTCTTCAAAACCAGCCATTGTGCAAACTACGCATTGTGTGCCCATTTTCAGGGCTTATTGTAAGGGTTTTGGGGCTTTCATATTGCTCGTTCATATCAGAACTCTCTATTAATGATGTGCATCGGGTCAGGTTGACAAGGCCAAACCGAACCGAAACATTAGAGATTTAAACCGAATCCGAACCGAACCGATCTTAACTCCCTTATACCGACCCGACCCGACCCGACAAAAAATAAGGTAAAACGGACCCAAACCGCCCCGAACCCGACCCGAAAAAAACCCGAATATTTGGCTGGGACTAACAGTGATCACTTTTTGTTGTGCCTGCCCTTACCCACGTTGCATGGATTCTTTTGCAAAAACATCGTCTCTCTCTCATACTCAGTGGTTTGATATGATCGAGAAACAAATCTGCTTATTGAACTATATTCAAACTTACTTCCCGTGGTGTGATCTGATTCAGGTCCAGTGCCAGCTGTTACGGTATCTCCAATCTCCAAAAGCCAGTTGGTATCATCGTTTTGTGACTGCACCCATCCACATAACGACCCTTCTTCAAAAGTGCAGTTAAAGTTTGTATCTCCTGTGAATAAAAAGAAGATAAATGCAGCGTAAGTAAAAAAAAAATAAAAAACGAAACCCAAATGTCGGGACCATTGTTTGAGTGAAGTTCTGTAAGTGGCACTTTCAAACTCTAGGATATAAAAGCCGAATGCATAAGCTTTCTTTGAGAACCAGAAACACAAAAAGTGAAGTGTTCTTTCAGCAAAACGAACACAAATCACATTCAGATGTGTGTGAATTGTTATCGTTTTGCTGAAAGAACGCACACTTGATCACTGTGATCCGTGGACAAAACTTTAAACGGTGGTTGTGTTTACAATTCCGTGGAATGTAAATGAGTGATTTGAATGATTTTTGTACTAAAAGAAAGCACTTGAATTGGGCTTTTATATCCTATATTTCAAAAGTGCTTCATACAGAACTTCACTAAAACAATAGTGCCGACATTTGAGTTTCGTTGTGTTTCTACTCATCCTGTATATTCACACAATATTCAGTAATCTGTTTGATATGTTTCAACAACTACGATCAACGCATATGTGAGATGCACTTTTCGTCGAGATATAACGATATTCTTATTGTTACTCAATACCAAATGGCTTGTTGCCAAACGGAGCCACGGTAAGGGCCCGTGACCATTCAGCCCCAGTATGAAAAGGGCCCCCCGGTAAGCTCGTCCCCTCCCAAGAAGTCCTTTCGTACCGTCCCAGCTACCGGCCCAGGAGCTAGTCCGGTTGCTAATCAGGAACTCCTCTATCCTGGGGTCTATTGTTTGCAAGTATTGACAATGTAATATATCCCAGAAGAAACCCGCTTGTGGTTTTCATCTCTCAGTGCGAAACAATAGAACACTTTCGTCGGCACAGATCAAAACACCTGCCATGCGGTTTCGCGCACAATCATGGACCGTAAATTACCAAGGCATTATGGAAGGATTTTATCTTTAATCCGGTAAGTCTGCTATTGTTCTGCTCTGGACGTTCTCTGAAGGGCAATGCATTGATGCGCCTGACTGACTTCAAGGCTTCTGGTCAGACAGGACCATGTACCGGACGAGACTGGGCTGAAGACCGGACTGGCTTTGGACCGGACGGGGAACCGGGGGGCCCTTTTCATACCAGGGCTGAATGGTCACGGTCCCTAAGGAAGAGGCGTCGATATTTGGTTCCAAGAGGAGCCCACGGTAGTGAAAGGGTTAACACAGCTAGATTTCCTCTTACCCCATTGCAGAAATTGTTTTCCAGCTCAACTCACTTTAATTTAATAATAAAATTTGCCTCAATTAAAATAAATAATTATGTTCCTCCGAATATGCTTTCAGAGATCAGTAGTTGTGTACAAAACAATTAAGATACAAAAATACAAAACAAGGACTTCAAAACTTAAAAAAAGGAATATATAAAACGAAACAACGTGTATTAAATCAATATCTTAATATCAATATTTTCATTTCACAAACAAATCCCAGCACGATCTAAAAGTTGGACACACAAAAATGAGGCAGTAAACTCACAATTCTATGCTTCATCGTGGCTTGAGCAGCCTCTATTTTTGATTTTCTTGGCTAAACGACATAAATTGGGTATAAGTTTGCTCGTAAAACCAGGGTATATAACAAACTGCCTTTAAGTTTAACAAGCCCAGGGAATACACAATGTGTCTTGCGGCAAACCTGGGGGCCACCTTCACAGCTTGGATACATTATTTGAAGCCAATACTATGGCCTCAAATCGATTCAATCAAATCATATGAGTCAAATGTATTTCTTACTTTCACACAAACCCATCCGCAGGTTGATGTCATCGATCGCTATATCGCCATGAAGTCCTCCGTTGCTTGTTGCTTTGAAGTAAAAACTAACATGAGAAGTTACACTTCCAATGTCGACCAGCCCATGAAGCCATCCCCTCCTTCCTGTCTGTCCCCCTCTCGCGCCGAAAACCTCCATGGTGCTGTTGTACGCATACGCCTGAAGCACACCTTGAAAATATAATAGTTATGGTATTGGATTGACGTGCAACGAGTAAAGTATATGGTGCTTAAAGAGGTTGTGGAATGCTCGAAGACATTTCCGTCATTTTTTTGGTATATGTAGCCTAAGGTGTGATGAAATAAAAACGACTATTGTTTCTGTCATGGAATGAGTACAAAGGGTACTTTTGAGAGCTATTTTTCAGGTCCTGTTTCGACCCGAACGTGCAATTTGTGTAAAAGTCGTCGTTGCGGGCAAACGACAGTAAATCGTGACGTAATAAACAGGACTCGTTTATGCTACTCTGTATCGGGAGTCCTGTTTATTACGTCACGATTTACTGTGTTTTGTTTGCTGCCCGCAACGACGACTTTTACACAAATTGCACGTTCGGGTCGAAACAGGCATGACAGGACTTGAAAAACAGCTCTCAAAAGTACCTTTTGTACTCATTTTATGACAGACGCAAAAGTCGTTTTTATTTCATCACACTTTAGGCTACATATACCCGAAAAATGACGGAAATGTCTTCGAGCATTCCACAACCTCTTTAATTTTGTCGTTCCTCTGGTTTATAAAGCTTAACACACATGTCTTGCCCGTTCACATTTTATGTGAACGTGTTCGCACCAAACACAGACAGGTCTAGTCACAGACGCCTGTGTTCGGTTTTAAATAGATTCCTTAAATACCTAAGACGATTTACCCATTCTTATTGGAAGAGAGCCCGTCACGTGGCCGGTTTTAAACGGTTGACAAGGACATGGCTGGCTGGTCTTAAACACTTGTCCAGTGTCACATGAATTGTTGACTCCTTTAAAATCCGGTGCTAGCATCATTTTGTGCATTGGTTGAACGTTCACAATCCTCACGTAGGCATGTGAAACACTACTAGTGAGTCAGCATTTCATTGCACTACATTTTAATGTTTTTACTCGAGTTCTCCATAAAGATCCTGTTCATGTGCTATTACTTGTATTTGTACTCAGAGGCACAAGTACTCGGACTCGGCTTTACAAAATGTGCACTTGAAGGTCGAATAATAATAATAATAATAATAACACGATTTATAGCGCGCATTTTCGCAAGTATCAATGCGCAACTAAGAACAACTCCAGAAGACAAGTTACAGATTATGTGGAGAGAACAGATCAGTTTTCAGTCTGCCCTTAAAGTTGTCAAGAGAACTGATGTTGCGGATGTTGTGTGACAAGGAATTCCAGCATCGGGGACCAGACACTGAGAAGGCCCTGTCCCCTGCCTTTTTGAATGTGCGTGGAACTCTAAGGTTGTTACTGGAGCGGTGGCCACTACGGCCGGGTGCATTAAGGTTGAGTGATCCCATTATGTATTGCGGCATTGTGTTATGAAGTGCTTTGTGCATGAAAACTGCTGTTTTGAAGTTGATGCGTTGTCTAACTGGTAACCAATGTAATTGTTGAAGGAGTGGAGAGGCATGTGTGTATTTGGTCGAAGTACTTGGACTCGGGTACCTGTACTCGTTCTCAGTGGACAAAGTACTCATATGTTCGTGGTACTTGGTAGTTCGGTACTCGGCAGTACTTGGATAAAGATACTCGACTACAACACTACCAATGTGCCCCACCCATCTTAAAGCAGGCACCTAAGTGTCCATTCAAACTGGATCACAGTTACGCTACCTGTATTCAAGCGATACATCAAAGTGGAATATACAAAGACGATTTGTATTTTACCTATATATCGCCCGTACATGCTGTACCAGAAACTAAAGCAAAAGTCTACTCCATCCTCTGTGTCAACTTCCACCACAGGACTGTCAATTATGGGCTTGGCGTTCCGAGTCGAAACCTTAAAGTAAAGATACCTTCCGGTTTCATCTATAGCAGGATGAACATGAAAAAAAGATGTAAGTTAATTGGAATAGGAATTTGTTTTGTCTTTCGAAGTTGCAAATTGTACTTACTCATGTCACATACATTTATAAACCTAAATATGTTGTAGATTGAAACATATGAAATAAAGGAGGTACAAGTCAGTGTTCATGTTTAACTCTGAACACAGTTTGTACAGAGTACAGCGCGTACAACTTTTTTTGCGACCTTCTAGCGTCGCCGCGGAAATACGTACCGCCATTATTTGTACATAAGTTTAAAGCTTGGAATCTTAACTTAATCCCTGGTTGAAATTAGTTTGATTTTCAAAATGGTTTCTCAATTATTTGTGTTCAAACAAAGGCATGTCAAACACAAACTCAACAGATTTCAAGGAGAATCAATCATGCGCACTTTCTCTAATGTGGAAATGGTTCATCACGTTCACGATGTGACAATCAAGTTGCCTTTTACTTTCTGTGCTTCCTATTCTTTGCGATCGACTTAGACTTCACCTTAAATGAAGTCACAATATTGTTCTTCGTTTCAGCTTCATTGTGCAGCTGTGTATCTAATCAAAAATAGTACTCAAAGTGTTGAAGTGTATTAAATGCATCATCAACTTTCCTTGAAATCGGTTTAGTTTTTTTTTTATTTCTGGTAATGAAACCAAGGGTCCCTCAAAAGTGCCTTAAGCAATGTAGCCCGGAAGCCTGAAGAAACCTGTAGAGAGAAGACAATGAGAAGAAATTACAGTTTTAGAGGTGGGAGGAAAAGCCCAGAGGAATATTCTGAGGAAAACCCACGGAATCAGGTAGGGACTGAAAACCCAATCCACATATTGGCCCAGGCGGGATTCGAACCCGAGTCACAGCGGTGGAAGGCGAGGAAAGTACCGCTACGCCAACCTGACTCCCCTTAGTTTGTTTTCTACATGCATCTGCATGAACACTATTAATACAATTCTTTTAAATATCAAACTAATGCTACCGAGGGTTAAAGTTGACAGTAGGAGTTTCCGTGTTGACGCTAAAACCTCGCAATAACAAATTGCGGGAATTTCGGGACGCGTTGTAGTAGGGTGTGTATAAAAAAATGCAAACAAAATATAACGGAATGTCAGATGCAGAATGTGCAACCAAACAGATGTAATATAGGTATGGTTTGAAACATACGCCTTTTCACTTTAAAATGGGAAATCGAACTTTAACATCCGATATTTTGGACGGACTTATGAGTAATTTTCAAAAAGAGGTTAAATTGACCATGGAACCATGTTTTCAATGTAAGGGATTGGGATCGACAAAGGTAGCATCATTAACTCGTTGTGGATTACTCGTTGTGGATTATTTCTTGGCCTACACAAAATGTGTTTAGCGAGTAAACACAATTCTAAACACTTCTTGCTATCAGTATGTAAACATGTTCAAATGCTAAATATTCTTAGCATGAGGCGATAGCAAGAAGGTGTTTAGAATTGTCGTTTACTCGCTAAACACACGTTTTTGTGGGCCAGGCAAATATCCACACAAATATCCACACAGAGGCAATTAGGCTACCTTTGTCCCAATACCTACAATTTAAAACTTGGTCCCATGGTCAATTGACTTCTCGTGTTGGAAAATTACTCATAACTCTGGCATACAAAATCAGATTTGGACATTTGATGTCTCATTTTAAAGTGGAAAGGCGTATTTTTCGAACCATACATATGGTATTTAAGTTGGGTACACATTTTACATCTGGCATTCTTTCAAGCAACAGTGGAGACAATCCTCCTATATGGCTGTGAGGCATGGACTCTGACAAAAACCATGGTTAAGAAACTGGATGGCACATACACCCGCATGTTGGGGAAGGTTCAGAACATTAGCTGGCAGGACCACGTCACCAATGTCCGGCTCTATGGTAAACTCCCTGCGCTCACGGAGAAGATCAAGGCGCGTAGGTTGCAGCTTGCTGGTCACTGCCACAGACACCCTGAGCTGCCTGCTAGTAAGCTCGTGGCTTGGGAACCAACGCATGGCAGACGAGAGCCTGGACGCCCAAGGACAACTATGTTAATGACGTTGATGCAGGATGCAGGAGTCGAGACGAAGGAGGAGTTGGCCAGTTGCATGGAGTCAAGGGAGGTGTGGCGCGTCAGGCATCGTTCCCGCCTCAAGACGGCCTCACGGCAACGTCTCGAGCCGACTTGATAGATAGATAGCATTCTACTATGTTGTTTGAGACACACTGTAGATATGACGTACCTCCTAAAGTGTGATCGACATCAGGACCAGTCTCGGAGGAAGGTGTGCTGCCTGCTCCCAGTAGCCAGTTATCCCCGTCACCCTCACGTTGGGTCCAGCCGCAATACCCATCCTCAAAGGAACAGTTGAATGGTCTGTTGTCTTGAAGGCAATGGTCAGGTAATAAAGAGTAAAATTCATATGTGGAGTAGTCCACTCAACTTATTGAAACGGAGGGTTTTCCTTTTAACGATTTTTTGCAATAAAGTCAAGTATACGTTGGTTTGTGTGTTGAGCAAAGTGAGGCCGTCGTTTATCTCCGGTTTCAGTAGCATGAAAATACAGAGAATATTACCTCCTCCCCTATATGGGACGCCAGTCCATCGCAAGTTACTCCCCAGGTAATACCGGTACCCATTTTGTAGAGACAAGTGAGGGTGAAATGGATTGACCAAGGACAGAACATAATGGCCAGCAGCTGGATTCGAGCCCTGACCCTCTGCTCATGAGTTACGAATCCTAACCACTAGGCCACAAACGGTATATTAATTTATTATAGTTAAAGGGAATGTACAACATTGGCTTTTGCTGCAATGTTCAGAAATAAATGGATTGGAGGATTAGTATGTTATATAAAATATTGTTAAACTGACTTGTTTCATGTTTTGGGCTTGTAGATGCTGGAAAAAAACAAGAAAATCTATCATGTTCTTGTATTCTGGTACCCTGACCCCACTTAAGATGAAACGAAGCAAATTGTAGACTTTGGGGAATTGTAAGGTCAGAGAATCAGTCTGGCAGGATTGTACCTCTTCACATGTGTGTAATCAATTGCAAAGAAAATGCGGAATAACTAAATCTGAAAAATTAAGAACAGTTTTTGAAAAAAAGAGTTTTCGCCAACGCTGGTCGGCCGACCAGCGTTGGAAAAATACAGTTTTTCTTTAAAATGTCAGCCCACCAGGAGCCACGATTTTAAAGGATTCTTTAGAATGTCAGTCCCTAACAATTTAGTAAGGAATTTCGTGATAATTTGATCATTTCGTTTTTTGATGTTTGCAAATGTTATATGTTCCCTTTAAGTAGTGCACTCTGCATGAAACCCGCGTTTTATGTAGTTTAAATATCGATCGGTGTTTGTGCTGAAGCACGTAATTATACCCCTTCTCATCGGGCCAAAAAAAAAAAACATTCCAACGACAACAATGGCTACAAAGGGGTATACAGCTCGAAACGATTTTGGCGAAACCCAACTCACGGTTTACTTTCCCTGCCCTTAATGTAACCATTATTTCACTCCTGGGCTGGATAACATTGTATCTCGCACAGTCACCTGTTCAAGTCTCCGTTTTATAACGAGCTCGTTTGAAGACTTCTGGTTTGATGACGTCCTCGTTTTATTCTTTATTCTCAACTTACCTGGACATAAACCTGGCTGAATGTCTACGTCGTCGATTCCTATGTCCCCGTTAGAAATTGGGGAACCAGCACGACCGACAAGTCCGACATAGAAGTCCTCGGTTTGATCGATAATATTAGCCATTGCCTGCAGCCAAACATCCTGACTCGTTTGCTGCTGATATAAACGATAGATGGGTGCGCCCAGAGGCTCGGTCAGGTTTGTTGTCACGATCGCCTCAAATTCACCTAAGAGAAATGAAAACAAACCATTAGCTCGTATTGCAGCTGCTGTCCATTCGGCAGCCACAAGGCGTGAGCCAGGCACAAAAAAACATGTCGAATTTGCAACTTTCTGGTTTTATATGTTTCTTAACCCTGCGCAGCGTTTACAAAAAAAATGTTTATCAGAACTCGCCAACGGTGGCCCTTTGGGCCACAGGTACTTCCCCGCACTACGCAAGACCCTATTCATGTCAAAACCACAAAAAGCCAAGTGCCAGACAGTGTCCAGGCAGTTGCCAGACAGTGCGCTTAAAAGATAATTGACTGGCGGCTGTGGTTTGCGGCTATGAAGGGAGATGGCTGTGCAAAGTTACAGGTGTTTGTATATGTTTCAATGAGACTTGGCAGGAGGCCTGGTCGAAAGTTTGTTGACACGGCTTGGGTGAAGCCCTAGCTGCAAAGTTCATTGAACCAGCTGATTGGCCCTGGGGAGAATGGGGGAATGGGGAGGGGGAGGCTGAAAACCATCTTTATTTAGGGGGGGGGGGCTGTTCAAAGCCGATGACCATGACACTGCAATTCATTCAAATAAGGTTTTGCCCTTCACCGACGTTTAAACACTGTATACTCAGTGTGTTACCTCTCGAGTGAAAGTTGGAAAAAATCACTCGGGTGGGACTCGAACCCACGACCTCCTGCTTTCTAGTGCAGATATCTTACCACTCGACCATCGACCTAACGGGATCGGTTGGCTGGTTCGAATCTGATGTACATAGCAGCAGGTGCCGCATAAACTATTATAATATGGAATGTTGCGTCGGGGTTATAGCAATCAAATTAGGTTTTGCCCTTCACCGACATTTAAACACTGTATACTCAGTGTGTTACCTCTCGAGTGAAAGTTGGAAAAAATCACTTGGGTGGGACTCGAACCCACGACCTCCTGCGAGTGGTAAGACGTCTGCACCAGAAAACAGGAGGTCGTGGGTTCAAGTCCCACCCGAGTGATTTTTCCAACTTTCACTCGGGAGGTAACACACTGAGTATACAGTGTCTAAACGTCGTTGAAGGGCAAAAACCTAATTTGATTGCTATCACCCCGACGCAAAATTCCATCTTATAACTGCAACTCATTCACTACCTATATCTTCTCCGTACATGTTGTACCAAAAACTGAAGCACCATGAGTTGCTTTGATTGCCAGCAGTGTTGACTCTTGGACTGAGGAGCACAGCATACTGAGGGGAGACTAATCCTCTCGACTGGAAATAGTAGTAACGGCCAGTTATAGCTACGAATAAGAAAAGTATAAAGAAGAGGTGAACACTAGGAACATGGCGCTGTTTAAAGGTAGGGCACACTTACATTTTTTTGGAAATGCAGGGTGTATCAAAAAAAGAGGAAAACCCGATGTAAATGTAAATTAAATTAATTCTAGTAAATATTTTCAAATAATTACAGATCATGTGAAACGCGGATAAGTCTCCTTTCAAAGGATAGCTTGATTGTGTGTCTGTGGCCATGGATGAATGTGCAAGAGAGTATGTGCAAAAAAAGGTAACTGATATTCTTGGTGTGTGGAGCGGCTTAATTTAAAGAAAGAAGACATCCTTTTCTTTGATGTAACCACCCTCATCGTTGAAGTAAACACCTCATGGCCAAATGCCTTCCACGTGGCTACCACCACTTTCCACACAAATAATCAGTAAATATATTAATCCCATATACATATGATCTAATGTAAAGCACTTGCACGGGATCCAATTGGATCACACTTTACATGATCCAATGTCATCACACTTTTAGTATCCAATGGGATCCAATTGATCAAGTTCCAATGGAATCACAATGGGTCCCATTTAACATAATACTACATGTATAAGGTTTCCAATGGGAAAACACTTTATATGATCCAATGGGATCCCATTCATCGGAATTCAATGGGGTCACTCTTTTTAAGATACAATGGGATCATACTTTATAGAATACAATTGGATTACTTTATAGAATACAATTGGATTACACCATATGCGATCCAATGATCCCATTTAAAGGAATCCAAAGGGATCACACTTTATAGGATCCAATGTAATCTCACTTTTTTTTAAGGATCCTATGGGATCACAATGGGTCCCATTTAACATGATACAATGGGATCATATTTTGTATCATTTATCATGATACAATGAGATCACACTTTATAGGATCCAATGGGATTACACTTTAAGGGGTCCAATTGGATCACATTTGGAATCACACTTTACAGAATGCAGTGGGATCCCATACAACGGGGCCAACATGGGACCCAATTGAAGGTGTTCTAAATTCAAATGGGATCCAATTGCTCTCCATTGCATGGGATCACATGAATACCATTGGAACCGACTGTTGTTTTTTTCATGGAGTACCTGTACATATTTGAGTGTACATGTACATTACCTTGTAGGTAGTCGTACACCCTATGCCAACTTGCCATGGTAATTTCAACCGTCACCTCGCTTTTTTAACATCCGGTGGTACCATGGTAAGGTACCATGGTAAGCATGCCACGTTCTCTCGAAATTCCAAAGAGTGAAAATTCACTCCCACATTCGGAAACTCTGAACTAGACGTTTTAGAGTCAATCGTAAAGATGCTTCATCTGAAGTGGTTCATTTCTCAGACCTTTTCAATCAAACATGAGAGTGATTTTCACTCTAAAACGTCTAGTCCCCAATTTCACTCTTTGGAATTTAGAGAGTTGCGCCATCTTTTTTCAACATCTTACATTACTATAGTGGTATGCGTACAATCGTCTTTCCATGTAGAAGTACAACGGTAATATCAGCGATATTGCCAGAACATCATTATATCCTATTCAGGACTTCAAATCCGATTTGTCTTTTGGAAAATCAATACGCCCTAATATGTATCCAGTGAGAGCACAAAGCTGTAAAAAGGCCACCAACGTACGCCCTTGGCTAGGGCGATGGGGCCGAGGGAAGTGTGTTCTCACCCCCAGTAGTGTGGTCAGTCACCGGTCCTGTGCCGTCTGTAACGGTCGGCCCTTGTTCCAGAAGCCAGTTGAAATCATCATGCTCTGACTGAGTCCACCCACAGGAGTGCTTTTGAAACGTGCAGTTGAAGCTCAAGTCCGACTCTAAGAAGAGGGAAGTCGGTATATTTCCAATCGGTAATAACGATCAGCTTATCTGACAATACATCAATTAATACATTTACTTAACAATGCTCAATGAATGTTTTGAGTTGCTCACTTCAAAATCAGTGGCGCCGCCATATTTTTTTTTTGGAGGGGGGGGGGGTGTTACAACTGATAATATAGTCACCAACTGATAATGTGTCACCAACCGATAATGTCACACAAATTGAACGATACTGTATCACTAACCAATAATACAGAAATTGACCGATAGTGTAGTAAATGTTACTACACTATCGGTCAATGTTTGTTACATTGTCGGTCTTAGCCGATAATGTAACAACAATCGACTGATAGTGTAGTACATTTTTACTACACTATCGGGCAATTCCTGTTACATTATCGATTAGTCATACAGTATCGGTCAATTTGTGTGACATTATTGGTTGGTGATACATTATCAGTTGTAACGGGGGGGGGGGGGGAGATTGGGTAGTCTATGTTAGAGACCATGAACAAAGCCATGGTCTATTATATGTGAACAGATTCGTTGATTAATTATGCAAGACAACCGCCTCTTGACCTCTAGATTTTGACCAATCAGCGGACGCTTTCTATATCGGGTCTTCGATCATTTACCCGTTGTCACGTCATAGACAGGACAAAAATGAACACAGCAAACAAAGGTTGTGGTCACGCGATCTGTAATATTTTACACGATACGCCCCAAGCTTGTTTAGGTTTTATAGATCTATGCCCGGCCGTTCTTGTATTACGAAACACAGCATTCGAATTGACCAATCAAACATTTAGTCCTGATTTGTGAATGAAATGACCCAACGATTTAGTAAAGTCGACTCCGATTGGCTGAGGCACGCGATCGCATAAATCTGCATGCTTAGATATATTTCAGACGTTAGACAGGATACTTGGCTCCTTGGATAACGGAGACTAGCAAACAGGGGGGGGGGGCAAGGATTAATTTCAGGAGGTAGTCAATGGCCCGGAAAAATATGCCAACAGAACACCTAGAGGTGAAGTCGTTATATATAGTCGTATTAAATATATCAAACCATAGAATGGTGTTTAACAAATGTATATCAAATGTACAAAGACGTTGGCTGCACACTATCTACGGCTGTATAAATGCATGTGTGGAATGTCTTGTCTACCAAAGTACCAATGTTTATAATGCTTTCGTTGGCCCAAAATTTATCCACAGAACCAATGATTCACTCTCTAACTTGTGTTGAATCTCAACAGCGAAGAAAATAGACATAATTGATATATTTGTAGATAAAGTGAAGGGGAAAACCGAGGGACAAACGGGGGGGGGGGGGCAACTTTAGGGGGAAATGCCACCCCCCCCCCATTGCCCCACCCCAGCGTCGTCACTGTTCACAATTGTAAAGGAATGCTTTTGACAGCTTATAGTTGAATAGCTTGTGACTTTATAAAGGCATGGTAAAGACTTGTACAGGACTGAATCACATCCCCACCTGACAGTGCAGTGAGCACGACCATACTTCAAAAACAGGAATCCTTTGCATATATGTACAAAATAGTACAATTTGAAGTGGTTCTAGAAAACAAATGCATAGCAGTTTTCATGGGCACAATGGTAATTATGAAACAGGAATGCCTCTGTTTATTTTTCAATGTATTCAGCATCTATTTCGATTTGAATATTTATCCAAAATTGTATTTATGCCCCAACTTCGGAGTGTTTTGTTTCTGGGTTTTTTTGTAAAGGAAAAATTAGTGGCTCCAAACTTGATTATTGTGACTCAACAAAAACTGACTCATCTTAGGACTGGTAGCCACCAGTGTAGAACTCAGATAACATGTCAAACCCGAACAATTCATGGATGCTCAAAATTAAGCCAAAATAAATGCTTACCTGGACAAAAGCCCGCTAATATTTCTAAGTCGTCAACTGCGATGATAAAGTCTCTTGAATTTGACTCCATGAACTCCAGCCCGACCTTGTAATCATCATTAGGATAGGTATAAACGTGGGCCTGCAGCCAGACATTTAAACCAGTCTGAGGGCCGGTTAGTCTGTACAATGGCTGCTTTGCGCTCAAGTCGTCATCTTCGTCGTGGTCATAAATGTACACGTTTAGATCGCCTGGATAAATGAAATGAAAACAACAGAAATGTTCAGTCTATCTCTGATTTAGGCACTGAGTGAGGGTCACACGGATCACAATAGACCTTTCTCATGCTGCCACCCCTTTAGTCATGTTCCCTGTGTCCAATAACAGAACTGAATGATAATGTTGTTTTTGTGCATAAAGGAACCAGACAATTTTCCTGCAAGCCTCATTAGGTTACATTGGTTTGAGTGGGCAAACAAATCAGCAACAATGATTATGGTCACTGGGTTCAGGCCCGTTGCCAACGCTGAGCGTCGGGGCCGGAGAGGGGGGGGGGGCATAGTACCAACTAGGGCGGGGGGGGGGGGCACTACCATAAAGTACACAATTCCACATTATGGCTAATGCCATTGGCGGCCAATTGCTCGCCAAGGGGCAAAAATAGGGCCACTTTATCACATCTCTTGGTGTTCCGACCTCCATAAGTTTTTAACTACAGATGATATCAGCACGCGGCGGTTTTCACAGCAGTAATGCTGATTTTGTGCTCTTTTCAAATTTGATAAAACAAAATTACAAGGGTTGACAAACGACTCATTTAGCCTGATCGCATCACATTTGTTTTGTGGATAAGCCAGTGCATAAGCATCATAGGGTTTTTAAGTATATGGTCGGTAAAATTAATCGGCCATAATCCCTATACTAATATTAAGGGAATAAATGTGTGCTGCGGAGGTTTTTATCACTCTGTTTAAGACCACTTAGAGTCTGGGTGCTGATAATTACCCGAGCCGGAGGCGAGGGTAATTATCAGCACCCAGACTCTAAGTGGTCTAAAACAGAGTGATAAATTTATTCCCATTCATAAATACCTTTTTGGTAAGAAAAAATCATATAATTCGTTCAAAACATCCCGATTTTGTTCAACAAATTCACTTTATGATTTTTAAAACATCCCTCTTGCAATATAATGGAGTGTTCAGCTGCCAAGTAAGATGTTAACAAACCTTTTATGGAGATTGACGCGCGTGTATCATGTTCTGCGCGATGTCGCGCAGAACGCATCTGGCGCGTTGCATTTTGAATTTAGAACCAATTCTGACTCCCTCGTAGTGTTGCGCATGCCTACGTGAGGATTGTGAACGTTCAACCAATGAAACAATAAGAGGCACTGGATTTTTAGGAGTCCACATTTTATTGTGACACTGGAAAAGTGTTTAAGACCAGCTAGCCATGTCTTTATCATCCGTTTAAGACCGGCCACGTGATGGGCTCTCGACCAATAGGAATAGCTCAACTGTCTGAGGTATTTATGAATGATAATTAATAACAAGTAAATAAACCGTTTGTTAAACTTACCTATCATATCAACCCCGATCGCAAACCTGTTGTACCAGAAGCTCACGCACACGTCAGTCAAAATACTGCCTGGACTTATAAGGTTTGCCGCTCCAATATTGGGGTTTTCGTCAGCTCGCAGATAAACATACTGACCAGAACTCGCTGAAAGCGAAAGGCGAGAGGATATAACGAAATTGTTTACTAATAAAGAACAGCACTTTCCATTGTATTTAAATCAAATCAAAGATGTTGTGGCTATTGACAACGAGGCTTTTAGTTTGGGCCTGGTACTTGGCGCTAAGAAATACGACTTATTTACACATGTATTTGTAACTTCACTGGTTCAGGGTGAGTAAAAAAAACGAATCTCAACTGTTGGGACTATATTGCTTTAGTGAAGTTCTGCATGTATCACTTTCAAAATCTAGTATATGAAAGCCCAATTCATAAGCTTTGTTTTAGTACAAGAATCATTCAAATCGCTAACTTTTCACATTTTAAACAACACCACCGTTTTAAGCTTCTGTCCACGAAGCACCAAAAAGGTGTGCGTTTTTTAAGCAAAACGAAAACAATTCACACACATTCCTATGTGATTTGTTTCCGTTTTACTGAAAGAACACTGAACTTTTTTTGCGATCTGTGGACAGAACCTTAAAACGGTGGTTCTGTTTAAAAGTCCTGTGTTTCAAAAACTTAAAAAGTACATGAATTATTTGAATGATTCTTGTACTAAAAGAAAGCTTATGAATTGGGATTTTATATTCTAGATTAGAAAATGTTATATGGTAAACTTCCCTAAGATAATAGTCCCAACATTTTGGTTTCGTTTTTTTTTTTATTCATCCTGTATACCGCATTCACGAGGAACCATTTTTGATCGTGTTCCCTGAATTTTTTGTATAAATTCTAAAGTCAGTTGAATGGGGCGTTGAGAGACAATGTATTCGTTCCGATCATCACTTTCATTTTTTGTAAGTCTGGCATATGTTTCATTGCAAATTTTCAATTTTTCATCAGAGCAGACTGGTATTAATTTGTAATTAACTCAATTTAATATGGCCGACTTATGAACAGTGTAGTTGGTAGTGCTGTACTTGAGTCCGTCACAAGTCAAGACAAGAACTTAAACACAGGTCATTTTTTTTCTCACCAATCCAGGTATAAATACACTGTAAAAACTGTGTTTAGCATTTTAAACACATCAGAACGTGTTTAGAGTTTAAAACGTTTGGGAATGTGTTTCAATTCTAAACGTTTACCACTTTTTAACGTTGTGAAACTAAACGTGTTTACGTTTTGGACATGTGCTTAGGATTGTATATCTAAATGCGCTTAGGAAGGTGTTTAAATGCTATACATAATTCATTGAACATGTCAAACGGATAATGCGTGTCACAGAAAAAGGACATCTAAACATGTCATGATGCTAAACGTGTGGAAAAAGTGGGTACAGAATAAGTGTTTAGAAATGTGTTTAAATCCTAAGCACCGTTTTTACAGTGTAACAGGGAATGAACAATCACCGAGGAACGTTGTTTTCATAGTTCATCTGAATATCTTACGATGACTTGATCCTGGGTGATTTTTGATAGACAATGAGCTGCTGTCCAGTCGCTAGCTCTATTAAATGGTATCGGATTTAAATTAGGCCATCAGCCTCGGTCCAAAATTTTGGCCACCGGTATCAAATGAGGGGAATAATCATCATAACGATTTTTGGCAAGGTATACACCTCCAGAGTTGGAAAATATGCAATAGCATTGCAGCGGTGGCAGCTTTTTGGGTGTTATCACCCTTTTTTTTCAAAATGTCCATCAAAATGTTACCACTCTAGGGCGATATGCCTTCCGCATGCGCACTATTAGTCATTTATGCACTGATTTGATACCGACCAAACCCCCAGGCTGATGGCCTAAATACGATAAATGAGTTGTACCTGTGGTGTGATCAAACGGTATTGCATTGGGGAGCCACGTGGAGCTCGAATAGAAAGCCACGTCGGTATAGTCAGTTCCATCACTTGGTTGTAGCCAATCGCAGGTAGTTCCACTATCGAAGTTACAGACTGCACAAAAAAGCAGAGGATGTTCGACAACTCATAAATTACTGTACAGGGCGAGTAAAAAAACGAAACCCTAATGTTGGGACCATACTTTTAAAGAGAAGTTCTGCATGCAGCATTTTCAAAATCTAGAATATTAAAGTCCAATTCATGAGCTTTCTTTTAGTACAATAGCCAATCAAAGCACTTATGTATTTTTCAAGTTACGGAGTTTTAAACACAACACCTGTTTTAAGGTTCCGTCCGAAGATCGCTAAAAAGTTCAGTGTTCTTTCAGCAAAACGAAAACGAACCACATAGGAATGTGTGGGAATTGCTTTCCTTTTGATGAAAGAGCGCACACCTTTATGGTGATCCGTGGACAGAACTTTAAAACGGTGGTTGTGTTTAAAATTCTCTAACTTGAAAAGTACACAAGTGGTTTGAATGATTCTTGTACTAAAAGAAAGCTGATGAATTGGGCATTTATATTCTAGATTTTAAAAGTGCTACATGCAGAACTTCAATAAAACAATAGTCCAGACATTTGCGTTGTTTTTTTTTACCCACCGTGTATCGTGTCAAAATTATTCAGATAGGCATGTTAGTCAGTGGGCTTGTAGGGCCATATACATTCTGTGGGAACATTCTTTGAAGGCAGTGTTTATTTTGCCGGAGACGGCAAACCTTTAGTAAACGTTAGTTTGCCGGATATGCACTGAACATGCGCAGTTACTGTTTTTTTGTACTCTAACATTTTCTGGTGACAAGTTTTAGTCTGGCTCCATGCCAAAATTATCGTTGTTACCTCGTATTCACAAGATGGGATTCAGACCATTTTATAATTTCGGACTTTATTTCCCTTTTAAAAAAAATCCTCCAGAGCCACAAATTTGAAAAAGAAAATGTAATACTAATAGGGCCTACTCTGCAAAAAATGTTTGAGACATGTTAAAATAATAAAAGAAGAATATTCTTATTTATTTGGGGATGAGAAAAAAACCCTTAAAAACGTGGTGCGGTCGGGATCGAACGCGAGTCATCCCGCTTACTAGAGCCTTTGCTTAACCACTACACCAAACGTGCTGCTACACACTTTCGGTGGGAATTTAATAGGCCTACATATTATAATTCAGCCCTATTTTAAAGAGTACAGCGCCCTCTGTTGATATGGATTGCCGCCGGCAAACCTTTAGTAATTTTTAGTTTGCCGTCATTACCTCCGGCAAAATATCCACTACCTTCTTTGAAACTCCCAGGGTCACTACTAATGGATACCTCAAGAAGTTCAAAACCACTCGATGCCATTTCTCTGACTGTCGCTGCATCTCAGATCACAAGTTGTAGACTCATAGTACACAGGTAGGATGGAACGCCGTATTATCGCGGTACTTATCACGTTTCTCGTTCGGAATAGAGATTGCCCACTAACCTTCCAGAATTGTCCTGTCTTATGTGTAGTATAACTCTTCCTCTTTAAATTAATATAAGAAAAACTGACGGGTGGTGTGGTTTATTCCGTGTACGATGCCTGTGAAAATAGACATGCGCGGCGTGTGCGAACGGAGGTGGACTCCCTATTATCGCGGTATGCGGGAAGTGGTTTTTATAATGATCCCAACTTTTTTGTTCATAGTTTATGTTTGACCAAAACACCCCTGAATAAAGTCTGATATTTTCCCTGTAACGTTCAAGTTGATTAAAGA